TCTTACCCAGCCCCTTCACACCATCAAAATCAAGCGCGTTTCAGTGAGTTTCACGTTCCTTCAAAAAAAACCCTAGGCACAGTTCGGCTTGGTGGGGGCACCAAATACTGCCTAGGGGGACTAGGTCGGGCCACTTTGTAAAAGGCTGTTTCCTGTAATGAAACTGGCAGAATTACATCATTCAGCAGCTTCACAGGAGTATGCAGTTCTCACCAAAGTGTACCTGTTAATTAAACTAAACTAGCGATTGAGCAAAATGCCCGTCCCGAGCCGAACAGCGCCAAACCTCATTCATTTGGAAATAACCTCGAAACCGTTTTAAATATGTTCATTTCAGCGAGGTTCAACAACTGAAATCCTGCATACAGACCATTTTCCTGGTTCTGTCGCAGAATGGCGTCGTAGGTGCAACATCACCGGTGCTAGGTGCAATACCGCCGGCACCAACGTTGGCGCCAGTGATATCACAACCACCACCACCACCAGCGCCAACGCATGGTTCGACACGTAAACGTGCTGCACCTGCAGTACCACAACCGGAGTGCCCTGTCGCGCTGCGTCCGATTGCTTCATGTAAGGCTTTATTGAAACATTATTTTGCACGATTTTTTTCTGAATATTACTCTTATTCAGGTCCCACACTGCAGTCTCAATTCATGCCTCATTGGACATGGTTAATGCCAGGGTTAATGCGACCGCCGTCGCCTACCCTTCCAGCACCACCGTCCCTTGAGAATGCGGCTGCGGCTCACAATGAACAAGAGCCAACGAAATGGAGCAATCCGTCCAGCGTGGAGAGTAATGGGCTTAAGACCGACTGCTCAGCTGGTCAGTTTGCTAGAGATGTCATTGATATGTCAAGAGTTTTTAGTGCCGGGGTGCTTGACTGCGACTAGCTGTCTGTCTACGTCGGGCGGTTTTTCCGCTTTCATTGCGTTCTTGTTTGCTTTCGACGATCAGCGAACGCGTACGTTTGTGCAAAGGACACAGGAAATGGGGATTTTCCACGAAAAACGCTCGATCAGCTGTAAAGATCAAAACTCAGTTTTATTGTCACGAAATATCGGCGGCTTTTGACAGGAGGGTTTTGGGAAACGCTTAGCAAGATTAGCCGAGGCACGTTAGGAATTCGCAGCGAAGGGGGTCGTGTTTGGTCGCCGGTGGGAGGGGGGGGGGGTGGTGGTCTTACCATAGCAAACAAATTTTCTTAATACTCTTGGCTTTTCCTGTTTCACGGGCACTGTTATCATCGTTGGGAGATTTCAAATTAGGGGGGGGGGGTCGTAGTTTTTGGAAATTTTTCCCACGCGGCAGGAGTGTTGTGGTAGGAGACTTATATTTTGCCAGGAGATTGCTAGCAGGTCGTCAATAGTTACGGTAAGGCCCGTTATCTTCTGAGAATCCCATACTGACTCAATGCGCTGTCTGGCGAAGGTGCTTTAACCGGAACCTTTTGAACAGGCAGTGCAAAATTGCTATTGGGCCGCTCAACCGCTGCACCTGCACAAAGCGGCGAAAAGGTGTAGGACTTAATTGTGACTGTCTGCTTAATGTCGACAAGCTGTTCAATGTGGTTAAGGTGGTCCTGAATGAGGTGGAATATCGAATATTGCTTCTGCATCAGTGGATCTCTAGTACCTTTAGTAGATGGGCTCGAGCTGCGCAGGATAGTAGGTGTGACGAAAGAGGATCTAACCTGTACTTTCCGTGCGATAAAGAATGGCACGAAGTCGAAAGGTGTTAGAAAAGATATCAGGCCGTTTCACAACAAGGTCGTATAGCGCAGAGGCAGTGAACTACAGAAAGGTCTTCGTAGGCTCCTTAGTACAGTCCAAAGAGGAGGTATAGTCCCATAACGTTGGAGATCGCTTTCAAAGTGATCAATTTTTGCGCAGATGCCTGAAAAAAACCAAAAATTACCGGAAAATGTTCTGACAGAATAATCATTCTTTCTTTTGGGAGGCGGAACGTTTTGCGGGAGCACTTTACACAATCCGAAAGGGGGTGTCACTATGATCACTCTCACCCAGGCCGTACCACCAGCCGAACCGCCTCTAATTATCCCATTGGCGACCAGGACCACCAAAATCATCGGTAGCGACACCGCTTATGCCCTAGCCCAGAGGAGTGGCAGAGGGAATGGTAGCTATTGGTCCCCATTCTGGGGTAACTTTATTTCTGTCTTTTGTGGATATTGTGTATCACAGTAAATCGCTCGCCTCTGCAAATCCTACAAGGTCCTTATTTTGACGCGCTGAAGGAGGGGGGGGGGTAAAAAGAAACGTTTCCGCTTGCGAGATGTTTTTCTCGCATTGGCTATTTTTCCGTGTGGAGGGAAGGGGGAGATGCGGCGACTTTCCCACTAGCGCACTCCCACCGTCCCACTCAGTTGCAAAATTCGGAGAAAGTTTGACGACAGGGAGGTATGTGTCCTTTCCCGCCCCTCAGATTCAGTGTCGAGCGACAATGAGAGGGGGGGGGGGAGGACAGACAGCTCCGGTCGTATACCTGAAGTAGCGAAAAAAGTATATAGCACCTCGGGAACGTAGAAAATCAACAATCAAAATCTTTGTAGTTTGCCAGGTATTGCCAAAAAGTTGTTCAAACCAGTGCACTTTTCCATTGCTAGTGAAAATAGCATTTTGGTGTTGGCTCGATGCCCCAGGGCTTTTTCAATAGATTCTGCCGGGATTATGTTCGATCGTCAGCATTTGTCCCCTTTATTCATGCAAAACGCTACGAAGCCCACTCAATAAGTGCAACACGTCGAATGAATTCAATGAATAAATAAATCAAATGAATAACTTATTGGTTCACGCTTTTAGCAATGAGAAGAAAGTGTTTAACCATGGTGAACAAGAGGGTGGAAATCGATATATCGATTGGTTTTTCAGCTGAATCGGGTAACATCGACATTGTTGGAATGGATGGAAGTGAGTCGTCGACGTCATCGACATCAACACAGGTTTGTAAATAAGTCTTGTTTACATGTTGTTTCACGACAGGCTTCAATTTTCGATTAGGTAAACAAGTAATCAATACGAGTAATCTAGGAGTAGGTGTTATGTCCACTGTAACAGGACCCGGGTGTCAAAGTCTGTGGTATTTCGGAGCTCGAGTTAAAGTTCGTATACTTCGTACTTTAAAAATCATATAAAATTATAAAATTATATGGAGAAAATCTTCGGAGTTTGTCCCCCGGAGTATTCGTTTTTTGGATTTTACCTCAGTTGCTCCTCGTGGAGTGAATTTATAGGTTCTCGTTATTGCCCATTGGTCCTCTCTCGTTGAGGTATGCATTTTAGGCGATCAGGAACCCGTTCCCTATAATCCCCAGAGAGGATGTTACCCTTTCCCATTAAGTAGGAGCCCATCAATTCCCTCGAAAACAGCCACTCATTGAGAATAGGGCAGGCAATTTGGGATTGAGTGGTATTTGGGGAGTGAACTCTTCAGCGTTCTATGGCATTTTAACGTTTTCAAGGTTTCACTTGAGCTTTACAAATGAGGTTTTTGGCTTTTGATTTTGATTGACGTGTTTTGAAAACGTTATGGGTGGCATGCAAGTAAACAACTAATGTTGAGAACTGGGAGCAGTCTTGAGGGTTGGCGAAGATTTGTGGCGATAAGGCCGGCTGGCAGAACCAAACGGTTAGCCCTTCACCTCTGAGAACACGAAAAGTTCAGATGAACTCGATGAATAAAATCTTACTTTACTGCTTTACCACCCTTCAATCTGCTATTCCACCCGTCTTCATAGGTTTTGCCGGTCAGCCCTTAATAAATCACTGGAAAAATCGTCCCAATTGCTTTTGAGCAACATAAACTTACTGCTGCGATTCTTCAATTCAAACTGGCCGCAGTCACATCTAGCGTTTTCGATTACAATTATCTTTAAGTTAGTTCTTATATGCCGTATTTAATAATCATAATTACATTTTGTTTTATTGTCATGCGTTATATGTTTATCGCGCTGTTTGAGTGGGAGGAGGCATAATGCATTTTCACTGGTTACCCAAGTCGGTAAGGTGACTAGTACATACTTTTGCTGAGTAACATTTTGTGTCTCCCGCTCCATACCCCGTCCCACGTCTCCCACCAAGTCAAAGTTACGTTTACTGTTAATTCGACATGTGCCAAGAGGTTTAGTGTGTTAGGAGGCTGGGCTTGTCAGTGGGGCTGGGTTTGGCGTGTCGCCAGCCCGTTCCCTGCCAGTTATTGAAGCCGCTAAGTGATAACGATTGGCCGAAAACGACTGATACGAATGTGGTACAGTCTTGTCGTTTGCCGGAAAAAAGGGAAGAAAAAGAAGCGCGATGACGCCGCGCCAAATCATTTCCCTGACACGATCCGTTATCCGCAGCAAAGAAGACTATATTCAGCGCTACAAGTAAGGTAGAGAGAGTTGAAGACACCAGAAAATGTTGCAGGTCTTTACCACTGAGCAATTGTTCTTGCTCAGAGTCCAGCGATTTTAGCTAGGCGAGTGCTTGGCGTTTTGGCTTTGAGATTGCCCCTGCTATGCTCTTTTGTCCGGCTACTGGAGTTTTGCGGAAGGCCCAGTTTTTTATGCCTGTCGCGCCATCGCTGGGCACAATTGGTTCTGCATTGCATTGAGGGTAAAATGCGTGAGAGCGTATGGACGGGTAGTAAGATGGGTAGTTGGGCGTTTGCAACCCTGCGCGCGTTCGTCACCCGTTAACTCCTCAACAGCCTGAATCCGAGCTAGGTAACCAAAGTTAATTGGAAAGCGCAAAGGTGAAAGGAAGCATTTTCGCAGTATGAGTAAATCAAAACGGGGAACAACGTAGTGTGAACAACTGACATAGTAAGGTTAGGAAGTACTGTCTCAGGTAAAACTTTATTATTAAGGCGATGATCACGTCACCGTTAGCCGGTCAAGCTCATCTTCCGGCGTATCTGAAGGACTCATCACATCATCCTATATTTCCATTTCCACAAAAGTCAACCGATTCATCACAGCCGTCGTTTATTACAACATGGTGAAGGTGAGCTTTTTACAACATTTTCTTTGCATTCGCTAGTTTTGCTAAGCCTAGTCATATTCGCTAACCAACTTTATCGATAAATTTACCGTCGGCAGATGGCTATCGTTGGCTTAGTAGGCACCCAGTGCTTTCCCACAGAAAAGCTCGAAATCAGAAATTGCTAACATCCCGACATCCCTGGCTTCCCATTTGGCATTATGCCGGAGTGATCTCATGGCATACGGTGGGAGCTACAGCGACTTTAGTTGCAGACCCTGGGACCTGTCAGGGGGGAGTAGGTTTAGCACGGCGGCAGCCAATTCTTCACCAGTTGTTGTTGCTTGCCCACTTTCGACGCACTGCTCAGTACTTGTCAACATTAACTGCCCGTTTTTACGTGCGGCGCGTTTCAAACCGCAGCGCTAAGCTCAGTGTTTTGATTTTTTCTGGGTAAGTAGTGAACTGGTTGGATCACTCATCAGTTACTAGGTTTTTGCAAAGTTGACCAGCTGTGTACCGTATTCTCGGTCACAACACAGAACTGCCATCTTTCTATTCACTTGTGCCACTATTCCTGGGTTACGGGGTCGCACCACGTCAAGTCTTCATAAAAGTATACCGAGTTGCCAGTCAAGGCATCCTAGTCGCCGCGAAGTACAGATAGAGGTTGCGGCGCCGCAGGCTGCGGCGTGAAATGTCATTCCCTTCGCTGTGGCTCGTATTGCGTGTGCCTGCTACGTGACACCCCCTACAACGCCGCGTTCGCCGCGCCGCCGGAATTAGTATAGCCTCGTTCGCTGCGGGTGACGGAGCTTGTCAAGAGGGTGGGTCTGGCTCGGCGCCGGCTGGTTTCTCTTCTTTCTTCTCCCTCTTTCGGCAAGCTACAAGACTATATCATATCGTTCTTACCAGGTTTTCCACCAACTGTTGTCGCTTACCCCCTTCAACAACTGGTAGATATTGGACTGGTAGCGCGCGAGATCCAGCCTCACTGACACGCCCAGTCAACCGCAGCGTACAAGACTGCATCCTAGCTCGCATCCATGCGTGCATCGTTTTTATACATCACTACTGATTGTATAATATTATTATTAATTTTGTTCAGTTCTGAATTTTTAGCAAGAACCACTGCCTTCAAGAAGTGCACCTATCGCTGCCTCGCTACCGATTGGACAGGGTCATACTATAATGACTCCTGAACGTAAACACAGGGTAAATCTTAATTTCTCTTTTTTTTGAAAATGTCTAAGGATTGTTTCATGTGAACATTGTAATTGCAGAAACAACAGAATGATGACTATGTGAAACTGATACGTGAGCAGGATCTCAGTGATGAACGAATAGCTGCCATTCCTATACCAGTTCCACAGGCTTTAAGCCTTGATCCAAGTAAGAATTTTCTGTTTCTATCAGTAATTAAGCTCACTACCTTAAGGTAACTGGTCATTTTTGGCATACACCCAGGCATCATGAATCATAGCTACAACAAGGTTAAGTAGCATTCGTTCCCGCCGCACGATGCGCGCGACTTGACGCGTGTGATTTACGCGGCGACTGTTGGCTTCCGGGCAATTTCAGCGCTTAGCGAGCGGCTAATTTCATTTCTTGGCGGAAACAAGCGCTATCCCCCCCCCCCCGCTTGGATTTAGAGTTTACTCCGGATACTCCGGAGACGATG